TGCCTCCCATCGCTTGATCTGTCGCGACAGCTGCTCCATCGTGTGGCACACTCTGCCTCCCATCGCTTGATCTGTCGCGGCAGCTGCTCCATCGTGTGGCACCACAACAGTCCCAACAGGACACTTTACAGCTAAACAGGCGCATAATTCCTCCCGGGAGCGGGTGCACGGCGCTCAGGCCGGCCGCTGTCTCGTCGGCCTCGCGAGGGTAGGTTAGGCCTCAGCGCCCAGGCCTCAGCGCCCAGGCCTCAGTGTTCGGACCTCAGCGCCCAGGCCTCTGCGTCCAGGCGTTAGCACTCAGACCTCAGCGCCCCGGCGCTAGCACTCAGACCTCAGCGCCCAGGCCTCAGCGCCCAGGCCTCAGCGCCCAGGCCTCAGCGCTCAGGCGTTAGCACTCAGACCTCAGCGTCCAGGCCTCAGCGCCCAGGCCTCGGCGCCCAGGCCTCAGCGCCCGGGCCTCAGCGTCCAGGCGTTAGCACTCAGACCTCAGGCGCCCAGGCCTCAGCGCCCAGGCCTCAGCGCCCGGGCCTCAGCGTCCAGGCGTTAGCACTCAGACCTCAGCGCCCAGGCCTCAGCGCCCAGGCGTTAGCACTCAGACCTCAACGCCCAGGCCTCAGCACTCAGGTCTCAGTCCTCAGGCTTCGGCGCTCAAGCCTCAGTCCTCAACCCTCAGCGCCCAAGCCCCAGCCCTTAGGCCACAGCACCCAGACCTCAGCGTTCAGGCCTCAGCGCTTAGACCTCAGCACCCAGATCTCAGCGCCCAGGCTCCAGTACCCAGACCTCAGCGCTCAGGCCGGCTGCACGCACGTCGGCCTCATGAGCGGCGGGCCATCGGCTCAGCAGCGAAGGTGAGCGGAGCCTGGCTCGGCCCCCTGGTCCGCCAACCGGCCAATTTCAGACGATGACAGCCCAGGCGAGTCCCTCGAGCCGCGCACAGTGGATCAGCGACGTCCGAGAGCGGACGTAAAGAGCGACGGCGTGCGAGGTTTGACGACAAGACCGGACGAAACGCACATCGGGAAGGCGACAACCGAGCGTGGCCAAAACAAGCGACGCCCGCTGCGTCCCAGAGCGGATCCGAGAAAAACCGGCATCTGCTGACGTCACGCTCATTGTGTCCCGGCCGGCGGAGCCCCGCTTCTGCTAGAAGCAGGTTAACAGTTACCTTTGAAACTAGTAGGCGTCGCCTTGTCGCGTGTCAATCGCTCCCGAATACGGGCTAGCTGATAGAAATGTCCTGAAGGTTTCCTTCGAAGTCGCCTGATCAACCTCCAAGGCCCCCTCATCCTGCAGAGCCGCTTTCAAGAGGCGATCCGTGCGGAATTTCCGGAAAGCATGGTGAAAAGACCTGTTTCGCTGCACAGCTCTACCAGCTCGGGTCTTTCAGTCTTTACCAGTTCTCTAGACACCGGCAGCGCCTGGGCTAGAATTGAATGCTTGATGACTGAATATCTATAACTGAGATCCATTTGCAAAATTGTACGATAATGTTTGATTGATAATTATATCCTATGATTTAGCGTGCGGTTGAAGATAATTATGATAATGCTCTGCTCGCAAATCAGCCTGCAGATTTAATCTGATGCGGTTGGATTTCGACATCTGTCGACGCTTTGATTTCTGGTCCGCGTCGGGGAAGCTATTCAATCATAATGCTGTTCTGATTGGTAATATTGATCAAGTGTATTCAGCTACGGATTTTGCAAGTGGTGTTTGGTTTGAGGAAGCATAAGCAAGCGAACGTAACGAAAAAACTCACTCGAAGATGAGCAGCTTTAAAGGTCAGGATCCAGAAGACCCCGAAGAGGCTGTCGAGATCGAGCATGTGTACCGGCACTCCTCGCAGCGCAGAAGCAGAGCATCAGCAGCAGCCGACGGCTCTCGACTGCAGCTGAAGGCGTCGCTGCGCCTCGGAGGGGGAAGTCCATCACCACACTGGCGGCAAGCTCGGCGGTACCGGGAAGCGCTGTCCCGACCGCGGCCGCAGCCGGCAGACAGCAGGCTGTCTGCCGGCCCAGCAGGCTGTCTGGCAGCCCAGCAGCCAGCAGGCCGACAACCGCCGCTGGCCAGCGCCACGCAGCCAGGCAGGCAGGAACTCCATGAGGACAAGCAGCCCCAGCTAGTCACTTCAGACATGCTGCTGGTCACTGGTCAGCGGTCTGGGCGCCGGGACACTGCTAACAGCGCCCCTGGTGACAGAGGAACGGAACAATGTTGCAGTCGGTTTGTGAGTTTAGATAGGGGGCGCAGAGAAAGCATGGGTAGTCGTTCTCCCTTGTGTCATCGCTTTCCCTTGCCGTGCCGTCATGGCTCTGCTATTTTCATCGCACGCTTAAGTGCGATTTGGAACTTTGCCATGCCCATCTTTACTAGGTGATGCCTTATAGCACGCTTCGGCTGAGAGGTCTTGGGAGCCAAAGCAGCCTTGGAGTCACAGCCCCCCGTAACCAGAATGTTACCAAATTGCCACGGCCGAAGTATATGACGTACGCATGAACATGACGCAAGTATGGACTGTGTGCCCATGGTGGCGTAAATTCTGGCCAGCAGCCCCCAACGGACTCGGCTGGATTTTACGCGATGTGATTGCCGAGGCAGTGACGAGTTGCAGCCCATGTCTTGCTGAACTAACGATTGGCAGTTGCTTGTTGATTGGTGTAAATAAACTTCGGGCTACTGGAACATGAGGGGTAAACATTGCCTCAGTTGTGTGAGTGCTATCAGTACCTGCCGGTGTTGCCACGGCATTAGTGCTACCGCTACGGGAAAAACCTCCTACTGACAGGAAAGCTTCAAGAGTTATACGCGGCGTTACTTCTACTGCAAAGACTTATACACGACATGAGTGCTGCACAAGATTAATACTTCGAAAACTTATGCACACCATTTCATACACTGCAAAAACTTACACATTCTCTACTTACACGCGACATTATTTCTTCTGCAAAAACTCGTACACGATATGAGCACTACACGACAAAACTTATGCTGCAAAAAAAACTATCAGTCAATGCTTCTACAGCAAAAACTTGACCACAAGTCCTTGTTGTGGTACTTATGCCGCGTATCAGTATTTGCAGTAGAAAAAATGTCCTGTATAAGCAAAAGCTGTGCATGCTTTTCAGAAAGGGAATGACTGATGTAAGTTTTGGGAGTCTAAGCTTTGTCGTGCAGCACTAATGCAGCGTATAATTTTTTTGCGGTCGCTGTGAAATCGTGTATAAGTCACGACTGTGGAAGAATTTGCAGTAGAAGTGAGGACCAGCATAATTTTTTGCAGCATAAGTTTTGTCGCCTAGCGCCCATGTCGAGTAGTAGAAATAACGTCGTAGCACTCTTGTCGGAAGGAATTTTGTTGAAGCACTAATGACGCGGAACTCGCGCCTGTGTACACAGACGGCGTTACGTAAGAAGCTCCTCAGCACGGTTGAGCGGTGGTCTTAAGTGAGCACCGTCCGCGTTTCAGACTTAGCCATAACAAGTTGACCCGGCCTCTCTTCCGCGGCGACTAGATCTCGTGTGCGCCCGAGCCTGCGATGGCCCAACATTCAGCATGTCTTAAAGTCCATGATTGGAATGGTACATACTCGGGGTGGTGCATACATGGGGTGGTGCATACTCGGGGTAGTGCGTTCATGGGTGATGCATGGTCGCGGTGGTGAAAACCCCTGACAAAAATAGAAAGGAAGAAATTAATCGTGGATCATCTGCGGGGATGTGTTGGGAGAACGATAACGGAATATTTGCCTTGCTTCCCTGCATGCACGCGTTAGCACGAGACTGTTCCGGAGGCGTGCTTGTGAATGTGTGCGCGTGAGTGGGAGGCGGGGGGGAGGGGGGGGGGGGGCAGTTACTCCCCACTCTCCCGGCAGGTGATGCAGTGACGTCATCCGCCATCAGTCTCATTAACGCTATTGCCCAACGTGGACCTAACGCTTTTGACATTGAAATGCACAGCATCGAACGCACGACATGCAGTGACTTCCAAGGCCTAAGTCAATCAGGTCCTACGTGTTGTCGCCAGACCTTGTGGCTGATTACCCGTAAACGTTACGTCTGCGTTCAAGACGTCTAACTTCTTTCTGGACGTGATCACTAGACGCCATTCACTCCCCTACACCCTCAACACCGATGCCCTACACACGCCAGCCCTGTACAACCGAGTGGGTGCAGTGTCACGCGATGCCCTGAGATCCCCAACGTCACACGACCGCACTCGTCACCCTACATGTCCGTCACATCTTCCGCCGTCCCCTCGCGCCCGCTTACACACAGACCACCAGGGATGGGCGTTTATTGGAAAACCGTTCAATAGCGTTAATCCATCCGACAGTGGCCCGAAATTACACAGCGAGAGCGCAGCATTCCACAGGAGAGGGAGCAGACGGGGGTTGGGGTGGGGTGGGGTCGGGGGGGGGGGGCGATAGCAGCACAGCTACAGAACCACGACACGAGACACGACTAGAAGCCCGTCCGGTTAGCGCCCCTCTTCGATTCGCCCCTGTAGCAAAAATAGACGTGGGCCGATCGCTCTCTCCCGTTGTTGACCCGTAGCCCCGGCAGGCGGCGCCACCGCCGCCGCCACCGCGCTCTGCCGCGAGGGCGGCGTTGAGCAAAACGTAGCAGTCTGTGGAGGTCAGCCGGCAGGCGGCGCTCGCGTCGGCCGCTCGCGCGTTGCCGCGCCGTAACAGTGACTATGTACACAGCGGGCGGACCGACGCCGCCGCGCCGGCCCCACACCGGTCGACCGGCCACGACCAACAGCGACAGCGGGGCGACGCCAGCGGCCGGCCGCCCCTCGGTAACAACGGTAAATACGACATATCACATGCGACCGCCGAGCGCGTCGGCGGCTCCCGCGCGCGCGCGCGCGCAGCACATTGCACTGTACAGAGTACACGGCAGGCGGCGCCGAGGTCCTTGGCGCGCGCGGGCGCGGGCTCACCCTGATTCGGCGGCGCGCGCCGCACTTTGTACTGGGCCGGCGGCGCGCCGGCCGCTCACACCATGGACACGTTTGGCCCCAGGTCGGGAGGGCTCTGGTGTGAGGTGACCACGCGGCGGTAGGGGTCACGCGCCGTCGCCACGGTGGGTAGTTTTTTTGGCGAGAGCACGGGCTCGGCGGCGGACAGCGCCTCCTGCGACACGTAACCACTGGTGACGGTCGAGGCCGGCAGGTCGCGCAGCTCCAGCTGCGCCGGCACTATCTTGTCGTGCGCCACGTAGCCGGCGCTGGCCACCTGGCGGGGCGGCTCCGCCGGCCGGGTGGGCCGCGCCGTCGGCGCCGAGTGCACCTCGGCCAGCCGCGGACTGGCCCAGGTGGGCGGAGCGGCGCAGGCGCCCGCGTGCGCCGGTGAGCAAGCGCCGACCGGCGGCGGGCCGTCCGGCGCCGGCGGGCCGGCCAGCACGTACGGCGGGAAGCCGGCGGCCGAGGCCGGCGGCGGCGGCGGCCCCAGCGTCACGTACGGCTTCAGCTCGGCCTTGGCCGGCGGACGCAGCTTGCCGCGCGTCGGCGGCGAGCCGAGCCGGCCGGCCGGCGCCAGCGCGTCGTCCGACGTCATGCTGACGTAGCCGGTGCTGGAGCGGTGGCCGATCTTGCTGTAGGGCTCGGCCGGGCCGCCGCCGGCCGCGCTCAGGTCCGGCTCGGAGCGCGACAGGTCGTGCGCCGGCTCGCCCTCCGACAGCGTCTCCATGCTGCGCGCCATCAGCGACTGAATGGCCTTGGCGTCCACATACGGCGAAAACTTCGTGTAGGGCGGCGGTGGCGCGGCGGCAGCGGCGGCGGCGGCGCCGCTCGGCTCCGGACCGCCGATCTGTACGTAGGCGGCCAGCTTCGGCTGCTCCGGCGCCGGCCACTGGAACCGGTTGTACGTCGGGGACGATGCCTGCGTCGGGGGAGCGGCGCCGTTAGCAACAGAGTCGCGCAGAGTCACAAAGCCAGGGCAGAGCTGGAGCAGAGGCCGGCCATTCTCGTCAGGCGGCCCGCGGACGCCAGCAGCGCGATGCATCACGCCCCTACATCGCCAAACTCTCCGTAAAAGTTCTAGTAGTTGGCGCCTGAGTTCTCAAAAGTCAAATGCCAAGCAAAGTTCACCCAGTGCAGACTCATCGAACTCCCAGGAAAAGAATGTTCGAAGTCTGCGACCCGCCGCCCGAAGTCTACCGGCGAGCAGCGCCAAGTTTCTGGCGCCCTCGAGTTGTGCGGCGGCGGCGCGGCACCCCAGCGCGGCGAGACGCGGCTCACCTTCTCGCACTCGGCGCCCGAGTCGGTGTAGTTGGTGGCGCTGGAGGAGCAGCTGTTGCTGTCGGTGTTGACGGCCGGCGTCAGCTCGCTGCCCTCGCCGTCGCACTCCTCCCGGCCCAGGTCGTCCTGCAGCAGCTGACGACGGAAGCCGGTCGTCACACACACGCACACACTACCGACGCACATGTGCGGTCAGACCACCCCGCGGAGGGTGTCTGGGTGAATGTGCGGCGAGACATCCGACAGTCTGCGTGCGTGCGTGCGTGTGTTTCTAGCGTGATAACTAGGAAAATGCATGATCGGCGTTCAATGCATAGCAATGCTCCAGAATGGCCCGATGGTCTCCAGAATATCTCTCACATAGCTCCTGTGGGTTAATGCTTAACATAGGCCAGCAATAAGCATTTTGCTCAAATTTAACATCACAACCAGTACTTAACATAACTATATTTATAGCTCAGCTCCTACATTTATTATTAAATGCCAGGTTGTTGGCATGGGCTAAATCATTGATAACAAATAATGATACAGACAAGTAATGATACCTAACATGGCATGTTCGCATGTTACGGATCCCTTAACCTCTCAAGCTAATTATCACGCAGCCATTTCGCAGTGTGTCTACCTATGGTTAAACACGTAGAATACACCCCCTGCCTTAACGCCCAGCTGACACTCACAACCCGAGGACGCCCCGCCCCATCCGCGCCGCCCAGCCTCGCCGGTCCACTCACCGGCTGGCCAGAGACGCTGGCGGTCGTATGGTCGGTGCCGGCGCTGTTCTGGCTCACCAGGCGGCCGTAGCCGCCGCCGCCGCCGGCCGCCGGCACCGGACGCCGCTCCTGCCCCGGGAAGGCGTGCAGCGGCGGCTTCTCCAGCCGCTGGTCCAGGCCCGGCGGCAGGTTCACGCCCAGGTTGCGCATCTCGGTCAGCTTGCGCTTGGTGCGGCTACACACGAAGAAGAAGACGGAGATGACGGCCATCATGAGCACGGCGCCGCCGACCACGACGAACACGATGGTGCCGGTCGGCCAGTCGGAGGTGAGCACGCAGTTCTGCTGCGTCTGCTCGGACCAGGGCCCGACCAGCCGCTCGCCGGACGCCAGCTGCACGGAGGCGCGCACGGAGAACAGGTGGCGCTGTGCCGAGCCCGGCTCGCAGTCCGGCACCGGCAGGTCGGCCAGCAGACGGCCGGCTGCGGACAGGCGGGCGGAGACGGCGTCAGGCGGCGGGCCGACACACACGGACCGATCGACGGACACACGGGCCAACGGACGGACACACGGGCCGACGGACGGACACACGGGCCAACGGGCGGGCACACGGGCCAAGGGGCGGACGTGAGGGTGCCACGGCAGACGGCCGCCACGGTCAGGTCTGCCAAACTCACCGCCGGCCGACCCGACGGGCGCCCTCCACAGCCGCCACCAGGACTGCGACACACGCGGTAAAGACCCCACGTACTCCCGCACACACTGAACCTAAACATACGTCCTCCAAACGAGTACGCCTGCGCCGGCGCCGGCGGCCTGCGCTGCGGACGCCTCGCACCACTCACCGGGTAGCGGCCGCTCTGTGCTGCTGTTGTGACCGTCACGCTCTGACAGCACGCGCAGAGTGTAGACGGGCTGCGGCCCGCCCGGCCGCAGCGGCGGCTGCCAGCGGACGCGCGCCGTTGACACGTTGAGCAGCTGGGTGCGCGGCGGCTCCATGACGCCAGGCACTGCAGCAAGGCGAGCACACAGTCAGACTGCGCACACGGCCGGCCGGCCGCACCGCAGACCTAGGCAGGACCCGGGCGGCGCTCTGCAGGTGACGGTCGGGCGCCGGGGCAACGACGCCACAAAAGGCCGAAGTCGGGGCGGACCGGCTGGCGAGGTCGAACGCGTCGCCCGGGAGGAACGCGCTGCCCCGCTCACGCCCCAAAGCAACGCCACGACGATTTCGATCGTGTTGGCAAGAGCAGTCAGCGAGCAGGCATAACGCCCTGCACTCTGCGTCGTAATATCTCTGAAGATAAATACCCTACACAAAGGAGCCCCATGCCCGAAAGTCTACGAAAAAAAAGGAAAACGGCACCGCTCAGCGCCCAATGCGCAAGCCACAGCAGCGCTCTTCTCGCAGCCCCGGTGGGCGCGTGCCGAGCCTAGCCCCGTTCGGCTCACCTCCCGGCAGTGTGCGTCCAGCCGTCCACGAGCGCGGCGAGCAGCCGAGCCGGGACCACGCCTCGTTGCAGGCGACCAGGGAGACGTTGTAGCGCGTGTAGGGCAGCAGGCCATCCAGCGTCCAGGAGTTGCGCGTCGCGTCCACGCGCAGCTCGTGGTAGGGCATGCGGTCCCGCTTAAACCGCAGCACGAAGTGCGACATGCGGCCGTTGGGCCGCGCCGGCGGTGTCCAGCTGACGCGCAGGCTCGTGTTGCTCAGCGGCGCCACCTGGCGGGCAGACGAGGTCAGACAGCGCCACAGTATCAGACAGCGTCCGCCAGTGTCCGCCAGTTGATCTCAAGAGCCCAAGGTGCACACCTGACACACACCACACACATGCATGCCTGCGTTCCACAGCAGGCTAACGCGAGGACCGCACGGAAAAACACCGCCTAACCCCAGCCCACGCGCTTGGTAAGATCGCTGTCACGGTGCCCCCGCTCGCTCCACAAGACCCGGACCGGTGCCCAGCGTCTGGCGGCCGGCCGGCCGGGCGGGCGGGCGGGCGCGCAGACGGCAGACGGCGGCAGGCGGCGGCGGCGTACCTCGGTGACGTTGGGCGGCTGGTCGGGCCTGGCCATCAGCGTGCGGCCCAGCAGGGCGGAGCTGCGCTGACCCTCGTCGTCGGCCGACACCACGGCCACCTGCAGCCGGTACTCGGTGAACGGCTGCAGGCCGGTCACGCGCACCGACGAGCTGTTCACGTCGCCCACCAGCAGGCGGCGGTCGTCCCCTGCGGCAGACAGCGCACCGGTCAGACGCGCGCTCGGCCCGGGGCGTGGCCTCAAAGGCTGGTCGCACCGGCTGCTGACTGATGTCAAAACAGGAATCTCCTCAGCGATGAATGTCAATGGTACAATCATTAGAAATCACCCGCCCTTCAACAGCGGACCTCGCCAACATGATGAATACACAAACTTATGTTATTAAACGTATATATATATATATACAGATAGATAGATAGATAGATAGATAGACAGATAGATAGATATAGACATAGATAGATAGCCGGTCGACACTCACCATCGCACTCGCCGTCGAGGGCCGAGCAGTAGTAGACAACGTAGCCAGTGGCCTTGGCGCTGTACGAGCACTCGCCGTTCCAGGCGAGCGTCAGCTGGCGCGCCTCGCGGTACTCCACACGCACGTCACTCAGCATGATGAGGCCTGCGGCGATGGAGGCGGCGGGCGCGCTCAGACACAGACACCCCAGGCGCTGGCCTGGCGCTTCACGCACCGGCCACGAGTCATGGGACATCGTGTGAACGGCGAACAGCGAGACCAGCGGCCGGGTGGAGCAAAGACCTCGCGCGTCAAGGTTTCGCCGCTGGAGGTGAGCAGCGATGAGAACAGTGACGAGGACGACATCGACCAATAACACATAGACAGCCGAAACTTGACCACGGCAGCGAAGCGCGGAACAGGACAACCCTCGCCGAGCACCGGCGGCGACCGAGGCCAGGGGCCAGGCGGTGGCGCCCAGCGGCGGCCGTGCGGACGCGGCGGACTCACCTCCGCTGTCGAGGACGGTACACTGGGACCAGACCATGCCGCTGCTGGTTACGCCCCACGGCAGCTGACGGGTGGCCGCAACGGCGAACTGGTACTCGGCCGGCCGCGGCAGGTCCAGCGCGAACGAGCGCGTGTCGCCCGGCACCTGTCGCCAGTTCAGCTGGCCCTGCCGGCCACACGGGGTCACGGGTCAGACGGAGGCGGCGCGGCCGAGGTAAGGTGTTGGTCAGAGGCGCCGGGGGCGAGCACCGGAGAGCAGGAGTCAGATTTCGGAGAACGGGTCACAGAGGCGTCAGCCCCGACCACAGACTCAGCCAGGCGTGTGACGCCACGCGATCAACAAATTAGACATGCTCGGCTCTGGCCAACGTGACGGCCAGAACGCGAGACGGCTCCCATCAGTGACTCCGCCATCACACCCTGGCGTCAGCTAGATCGGCCAAGACTGCCTTTAATTCAAGCCAAAGACGCACACATCAGCGTGCAAATGCCGTGAGCTCGGTCCCTTTACAATGCAAGACAATCGCAAGTCGAGCAACGGGCTGTGCATGAGAGCACGAAACATTTTTTTCAATGACGTAACATGTCGCTTCGCTGCACATGGTCCGGCTGCGGTACCTCAATAGAGACCTGGAGATAAGAACACTTCAAAACCATTGCCCTGGGGATTAAGCCGGCTTAGATCCCTGTGGTGACGTCATGACAGTCGCTGGCTACCGTCCAACAACGTGAACTCCGCCTCGCCATAAATGAGAGCCGAATGGCCACAGCGGACGACGCGGCCTACAATCCCAACAAACAAAAACTCCGCGGCATAAAGGTGCAATGCATCCGAGTGAACGGGACAGGAGTAGGCGAGACGTGAGACGGGGAGGAGGAGCGGGGGAGCGTCATCACCCACCTCGCACTGGAACGATGACCGGTGGCGTATGTGCTCGCACCAGAACACGGTGTAGTTGTCGACCGGCACGTCGGCGTGCTGCTCCCACGACAGCTCGAACTCGCCCCGCTCGGACACGTGCAAAATGACGGCGTGCGGCCGGGGCACCACTGTCGGAGGAGTGGCCGGTAAGGGGGGTACCGTCGGAACACGATACGGCGGCCGGGGCACCACTGTCGGAGGAGTGGCCGGTAAGGGGGGTACCGTCGGAACACGACACAGCGGCCGGGGCACCACTGTTGGAGAAGTGGCGGGCCAGGGGGCACGGTTGGAACACGACACAGCGGCCGGGGCACTGTTGTCGGACCAGTGGCCAGTAAGGGGGGCACCGTCGGAACAATACACTGCGGTCGGGGCACAGGCTGCCTCGAGCGGCGAACGTCCAGGCACACGCGCGTAGGCGTGGCCCCGACAGCCCCCCCCCCCCCCCCTCTCCTCCTCCTCCCCCGGCGCGCCTCGGGCGCTATCCGGCTGGCCTGAGCGGCCGGCGGCAGGAAAGTCCCAGACGTCACCGGCCCACTAGCCGCCGCTTCGCAGCGCGCCGGGCTGATGCAACACGAGCACCAGTCACGCCCCCCTCCCCCATCCCACTGTACGGAACGGATACACGGATAGCAGCCGACTGCGGACGACGGTTACATTGCCGCAGTACCGAAATAGCACATCAAAGTAACCCTCCGCTGGCGACATGCGCCACTGATCAGTGACTAAGCTACTCCGCTGGTCACGGGCAAAGCAAAAGATAATGTTCTTGAAACGTGGAATCTTATCGATACCATAACCTGTTATGTCTAGGAGCGGTGTTTTACTGCCACCGTTATCTGAGATCCCACCATTAGTTCTGAAGATAGCGATACACTGGGCGCCCAATCGGCATCTCTTGGTCACTTTAAGCACCACTTCACAGATTGTAGTCATAGCAGGTAAATATCCACTAAAATCGTAGTGAATCATAGCGAGGCCTTCAATACCGTGACGCGTCGCACGCATTTGAACCGTTTTCTTACCTAATTCAGATACTAACAGAATTATGGAAAATGTACAGCGTATTTGAATGCGCGTAGTATATATATATATATATATATATATATATATATATATATATATATATATATATATATATATATATATATATATATATATATATATGTAACCTCACCTCTAAGTAACACACAAAACACGGTGAATACCACACTCCGTTCCGCCTTCACGCAGCTCAAACAAAACCGCGATGAGGGCCGCTGGTAGCCCCGTCAACCCACCTCCACCCACCCCGGTCCCTGTCCCCGCTCTTCCACCCCCCCCCCCCCTCCTCCCTTCACTGCCTGGCTCGTGCCGCTGCCGGCACCTGCTCTCTCCCTCCCCCCTCCCCCCCCCCCCCGACCCGTCCCAGTCACACGCGCCGGACCGCGCCCCGGCCTGACGGCCTCCGGCTCCTCACCCTCGGTTTCGTTGCGCGCCGGCACGGTCAGCTCGGCCGCCTCCTCCGACTCGCCCTCGGCGTTACACGCCGCCACGCGGAAACGCAGCCGGCCGAGGCCGACGCGCCGGAAGCCAGCGTAGGCGGCCGTCACCAGGTCCGGCGCCGGGCCGGAGCGCGCGCCGCTCGCCGTCAGCGCCGACACGCAGTAGGTGAAGTTAGCGCCGTTCTGATGGCGCGTCGCGATCTGGCGCCAATACACGTAGACGTCGCGCGAGTCCGCCGTGCCCACCAGCTGGAACGAGGCGGCGTCGACCTGCGGCGCCTCCGACGGCACTGCGGAGACGAAGGAGCGGTCACAGACAGGCACCGGCGACGGCGCCGGGCCGGGCCCGGCCGCGCGGTCGGGCCGAAGACGCGTTCATCCGCCGTCCCCCTCCGCCCAGAGCGCGCCATCGGCACACCGCGCGCCACGGCCGGACAGCAGACGGGCCAGTGCGGGGCTGCACCGGACACTGACAAGCTGGCTTTCGTTGCGACTAGGACAGACCATCCGAATCGCGGCAGCGACCGACAGCCGTGCGTCATCACTCACCGAGTGAAAACGGACACAAGCCACCTCGTGACGCCACACGGCGAGCGGCGCTCGATCAACAGACGCCGAACATGGCCATGAGCCCACCGCAAAGTACACCAGACCAAATCGACACACACTGTACTCCTACGCGCCCCCGCCGCGCCGAACTCGGCGCCTGCCACCGGCGCCGGCCCGCCCGCGGCGGACGGTATGCAGACTCAGCACGGCTCCCAGCCGGCCAGCCGCCAGCCCAGCCCAGCCCGCCCGCGCCTCCGCGCCCGTTCCGCCCACCTGTGGGTCGCGTGCGGACGGTGACGGCGGCCGGCTCGGACCACATGTCCTCGCCGACGGCCAAACTGGAGCGCACGCGCACGCGGAGCTCGTATTCAGTGTAGGGCGACAGGCCGGTCACGGCCACGCTCCGCTTGGAGTTGTTTGGCGACGGCTGAAACTGCATCGGCGATGCGTCCACCACCTGTCGACGGCGGCCGGGCGGCGGTCAGTGCCTAGAGAAGCGGACCGGCGGCAGCGGCGGCGGCGGCGGCGGAGCAGGAGAGTTGGGGGTCAAGGGGAGACGGTCTGGGGAGTCTGGGACAGGCAGCCCTCTGGCAGACTGGAGGCCCCGGAGGGCAGCCGGAGGGGGAGGGACGGACGGTTGGGATGCTACGGGAGGGAGGACAGAACGCAGTAGCCACCACAAACAGCCCGAGCGGAGACGCGGGGCGAGCACAGCGCCAACGTGGCGCCGCCGTGCTTGTGCTGTGCTGTCACGGAGAGGGACAGAGGACCGGCAACTGAGAGGCGAAACGGTAGACAGACGTCGACAGAGGAGAGGAGCATGCTCAGAACCGAGACGGACAGAGGGGAGACACAGGGCCGAAGGAGTGTGATGGCCACTAAATAAAGAAAGCGAAAAGGTCGCATATTTCTGCTGACGTCAAAGCCCCACCATATCCTTGGTCCATGACGGCCCATGATCAGCCGACCAATGTTTACCCCGGGGAAGACCAGCGAGCACGAACGGTTGACTAATCATTTAGATCACAGCCGACCATGAGGCCAGAGCTGGCGGTGATTTCATTTCCTGCCCACACCTTTGTGGACCTGGAGGACAGCGGTCTCAATCATGCGTCAGTCGCGACTGAGCCAAATTCCTTGTCCGAACACCTCGGACCTGTCGCGACACCGCTATGCGCTGACAGACGTGCCGCACCATGCGACAAGACCGACCGCGTCATGGCGTCACACAGGAACGACCGCAGCTCTTGCGTGGCGCAGGCACAGAGATCGGACCTGAGGAGAAGCCGCCGGCGGCGGCACACGTCCCACTCACCTGAAGTCGCTCGTCCCAGCTGCTCGTGTACTGCACGTCGAACAACAGCCGCTTGGGGAAGGTGTTCATCGGGTGGCTGACGTTGGTCCACAGCTGGAGCGCGTGGCTCGTGACGTCGGCGACCCATGTGCTGGCAGGCGGCGCAGGCAACACTGCGGGCGGGCAGGCGGGGCACGAGTCAGCGCCGGGTGGCACGCGGCCTCGCAGAGAGCGCCGCCCTGGGCCTCGCTTGGGCGGCGCCACGGCGCCGACGGCCGGACCGCGCCCTGGGGCGCGGTCCGGCCGTCGGCGACTGCGGGCGCCGTGGCGGGCCCACGGAAGGTCCCAGAGTGTCCCTCCCGGGCCGGAGCGAGTCGCCACCGAAATCGCAGCGCGGCACGATCGGGCCGGCGGCGAGCCACCAAATTAGCAAAGTCACGCGACCGCCTTCCCATTGGTGATGCAGCTAAGTGAGGTGATGAGCCTGCAACTACCGGAACAAAGCGGGAACGTTACGCTAATGCCGGCGCCGCGTGGTGCTCGACACGGTGTGCCCCTCGCGGGCCGCGAAGGCGAAAGTGACACTCCCGGCTGCAGCGTCACTGTCGATGTCCGAGAAAAACGTACAAACCGGTCAATACTGCACGCCTTTACGAGGTAAACCCATTCACAGTCCCACCAAACGGCCTAGCAAGCGTTCCCAACGCCCGTAATCCGTCCACTACGTCACGTCTGTCGCCATTCATGGGCGGCAAGCTTCCGCGTCGCGTCCGGCCGCGGCGCGTCACGCTTCGCGACAGCGGCGCACCGCCGGGACGCGTTCGCCGGCGGACAACGACCGCCGCGGCGCTGCGGCCGAGGCGCGCCGGCGACGGCGCGGCGCGTGCCGCGGCGCCGCGGCCGACGCCGCCGGCCAGGGCGCCCGTCCAGCGGCCAAGCCGCCGCGTGTCGCCCCGCCGCCGTCCCGGAGGCCGGCCCGCGCCAGCTGAGATGGCGTCCCGGCGGCCAGGCTGGCGCCGCGCAGATGGGCTGTGCCACGCGCACCACAGCACCGAGCCCCGAGGACGAGGCCGTACTCTGGACGCCCGATACCCGTCCTTTTCCGTCCGTGTCCGATCTCCGGCATTCACATCGTGAACAGGACACCTCCGATGGACCTTGCCGCAATCGGCGGCGTTCACCACGGCACGGCCGTTCTCGGCAGCCATTTCCATTCATCACCAGCGTGCTGACATGGCCGACTCGGGACGGCGGCCGCAGGCGATGCGCACATCCCGGCCCCGGCGGTCAGACAGGTGGCGTCCCTGGCGGGCCGGCGGCGAAGCTGCGGCGGCCTTGCGCGCGCGCGCGCCCGGAGTAGCGTTCGGCGAACGCCGCCGTCAGCTGGCGTTCGGCGAAGCTCGGCCGCTGTACGCGCGCGAGCTGGCCGGGGCATCGCGCGGCGGCTCGGCGCGGGCCGCGCGGCCGGCGCCAGCGCCTCGCCGAGTACTGCGAAGCGATGAATCAAGGCGCCAGAGCCGCCGAGCGGTGGCGGCCAGCGCGGCACGAGCGGCGGCTTGGTCGGGCCGCCGGTTTCCACAACCCGGGAGCCGCTGGGCTGTCGGCCCCGGCACCGGAGAATGGACGCCGGCTGGCTGCTTCAATCGGCGAATCCGTTTTTCACAGGAGGAATGCTTCGAGACCCTGTGATGTGCTTCACCCCCAGACAAATTGCCTCGTTTTTACATCAAAGCTGCTTCCCGAAATATTTTCCAGCAGGATGATCAGACAAAATATCAAAGGGAAACATCAGACCCCTTTCCGGCAGCGGTACCGGTGAACGCGTCTCAGTCAGAAGGCGCCTGGGTACCGAGCATGCACGGCCGACGCAGCCCGATGACGTGCGTGGGGTCACCGGTGCTCTATCCACAGCGGTCCTGCGTATCAAACCTCGCCGCTGGAAACATCTCCTGAACGTGCCCCTGGCCGATGGCAAGAACACGCCAGGGCTCGCAGCGCTTTCTCTGTCCGTGAGACATCGGAGCAGAGGCCAGCGCCTCTCTGACCAGGCGCCGGCCGTCGCTGGCGGCGATCCGAGGCATTCGTGGGCCCTCGTCTGTGGCGTCACAGGCTGTGCGGGCGGGGTGCCGAGAACTAACCAACCCGAACGGCGCGGTGCTCAATCTCGGCCCGGCGCGCTCGGACCGGCCTGAAATAGACTGAGGCAAGGCCGGCTCTAGCCGTAAATATAAGCGGGAGCCGGCCGCCAGCGCCAGCTGCGATACGCCCTGTCCCTCAAACTCCGCCAGTCAGCACCGGCACGGCACGCCGCGTCCTGGCGCGTGTTCGTGTGGTCAGCAGTAGCGCCGGACTCCGCCTCGAAACGACTCGAACCGCAGCCGGCAGCTCCGCGTCGGCGACGGGCGCGCTCCGGTCCCGTCCGCCGTGCATTCCGGCCGCTCGGGAATGACGCGCCACCACAAGGCGGTGACGTCATGGCCGAGGCGGGGCCGCCGCCGGGTGGCTGCCGAGCGGCCCGCGCCCGACGGAAGCGGCGACCGCGCTGCGGGCCGCACGGCCGCGGCGGGCGGAGCGGGTGGGTGGGTTGTTGTTGATTGGGGTTTGATGACGCGTCGACCGCTAATGTCCCTTCGCGCCCACGGCCCGACTGAGGCTCGGGCACCCTTGCAATGAACACAGCCTGTACTGCGCTCCCACCAACGACGGGCAAGGAGGAGACCGACCAGCCCCATCGCCACCAGCCCCATCGCCACGCGCACCGAGCCCCAGGCGTCCGACACCACTCAGCGGGCCGGTGCGACGGCGGCGGTACGCTCTCCACCGACGCCGCGTGAGCTCCGATCCGACGCTCCGGCCGCCGGCCCGCAGGCTCCCACCCGGCATCAGACGGAGCCGCGCCCCGCACAGGGTGGCGGCGCCACCGCCCACGTCCCGACCCGCGGCGTCAGCGGCGGCCGATACGCCGAGCTGCTCCACCGACCACTTCCACCTCGCAGCGGCCCTGTTACGTGACTGGCGGATTTCGCCGGGGGCGCGGGACTACAGCGCCTCGTAACAAGCTGTTGCGTCATATTCGACACGACACGGTGTCCTTTCATTTTCACTCGTCTCGCAAAATGAGAAGAATGAGTTTCACGACGGCCCGAGAACGCCTCCGCCGATATCATATCATGAACTCGGGCTCGGAACATGAACGCGACGCAGACACCACGTCGAACCGGCGGCAATGTCCTGACTGCCACCGAAAGCCGGCTCACTGGCGACGGCCCGCCGCCCGCCGGTGGACACACGGGACGGGTCAGGTCCGGGGCCGTGCCTGGCCCCGTGCGCCGCCGTCGCCCGCCCGCCGCCGCGCTGGGGGCTGGGCGTTTACATTGGCGTCGGCGCCTGGCCGGTCAGGGATCCGGGGAGCCAGCCCGGCCGGGAAAACCGCACGGCGAGGACGCCGTGTCACAGCGGCCGCGCTCGCTGGCAGCAGACGTCGCGGCGCGGATCAACCGGCAGCACGACAAGCCGACTTTCGTCGGACGTGCCGGCCCAACTGGTCCCTGGAAGTCAACTGCGTCGCTGCAGTGTACGGCGACCTCTCAGTCCGTTAGAAATTCCCCTAACGTGTGGGACAGAAAGAGGCTTTGAAGAGGCACGTTGCACTCAACTGGTGCGCATTTACCGGTGGAACAACAACCTCGGGGAAGACGAACGCATGTCATGGTCAAGCGGTGTGAAGTACGTCGCAGACGTACTTCACGTCGCAGACGTACTTCATCATCAAAGACGTACTTCAATATCACAGGCAATGATCTTACAAAACAAGTATTTTCCCGAAGGTCAGTGACAATCGCGATTTTGCTGGAGCTGAAGCATGGAACATACGCTGGAGCGTGGCGCATTATCAGCCCCCTCCCCCCCCCCCCCTCTCCAGCAGTTTCATTCAATGCCGAAGCCCTGTTCGCATGATCGCGCGGTGACCACACTGCATGAGCACAGCGCATACGCCGGCGCACTGGCGACCTCCGAGCGCGGCGGGCCCGCGTCACGCCGACCGGGCGATCAATGCGGCCGGCCGGCGCCCGACACGTCAGCCGGCCGGGCCCCGGCTCTGGCTCGCTCGTTCGCCGCCTCCCGAGCTCGCTACACCACGCCCCTCGGCGGCCCCGCCCGGCCGGCGTCCTCCCACCGACACGTGTCAGTTAGGACGCGATCGCCGCCGCCGCCGCCGCCGCTGCTCCGGCCGGCGCGCTGAACGAGGCCGGTTACGCGGACACGCGATGTGTGGAACGCGGCCGGGGTTCTTCTCCCGCCGCCGGCAGCTGGATGCGCTACCAGCTGGGCCAGGTAGCGGCGCCGCCCGGACAGTCGGCTGTCACGAGGCGCGCGCTGGTGACGGCCAGGGCCCGGCCGCAGCTCGTCAGCGGCGCGGCGCGGCGCCGCCCGGCCGGCTGCTCGGTGACGTGCCGCCGGCGCGCACCCGCGCCGCTCGCGCATCCGTCGGTCCTGTCCGGAAATGGTTCTTCGCATGATAGCCTGCGCGGCGTTTGTCCGTTGTATGAGATTCACTGATCCATTGAATTGAAGAACGGGCGGGTCGCATTACTTTAATGTGCAGGGTAATGCATCTCACATTGATATCATGAAAGCTTGTGTCAATTCCCGCCAATTCGCATTTGGCATGAGGAATGTAACGAAAATGAGCATGGCGTTTTGCAACCGCTCGACTTATCTGACTTTGTGAGTCGCCTAGGAATGGGAACATGTCGGCCATCTCCTCTGAGTGTCCGTCACCAGCCTATTGCAGTCAATTTTAAACAATGAAAATTGAACCACGGGGCATGACAGTAATGGTTGAAACGCCTTATGTTGCTTAGATTGCATTCATTAAATCTAGTTCCACATGGAGCCGGGAAGTTGTTATCATGCGCTGTATTTGTTATCTAACTTTCCTTTCAACAAAGTTTAAGTGTTTCAAAAAGTGCCACTGAGTGCCTTGATCCAAGTTTGCAAGGTTCTCTGCATCGTAATATGATTGGACCACGTAAAACAAATCTCACTACCCCTCCCCCCCCCCCCCCAGAGGAGTCCCCCGCTACCCGTGCAGAGGAGTCCCCGCGCGGGCTAAGGCTCGGCGGTTGACCCCCTAGGCGCATGTGGTCCCGCCCCACCGTTATCCTTTCTCCTTCCTCCCAAAGTCTTCAAACATTGATTGCTAGTCGAAATGGCTCTAATTCAAACATCACATTATGCACTGCACATGATCTCCTTTATATTCCAATGCCAATAATGATGTGCAGTCAATGAAAATGCATCACGGAATGAAACCGGAACAAGTTCTCACTTGTAGTGATTTTCACGTTTGTCAATTTGCGAGGCATGACTCCGTGCGTTTTCCGGGACTTTTCGGCCAACAATGGCTGATGCAACCTCCTTTAAATGTGGCACAGAGATTTGATGCCCCATGTCTGTCCAGCCTTGATGGCCGTAACGCGCCGGGGCAAGGCCGCGCCGGCTGTCGGCCTGCGGCGGCGGCACCGCGTCGCCTCGAGTCGAGTCGGCGCGCGCTGTACGGCGCCGCTCCGGAGCGGGCTCCCGTCTCAGACAGCGGCGCAGATCGCAGGGCCTGGTCGTGACGCTCGGCCCGGGGGGAATGACGTCCGGCCACGCTGGCGCTGAGCGATGCTGGAGCAGATTACGGCTCGGCCGAGGGGACCGGAGCGGAGGCCGCGCCGGCGCCGCCGCGATCCGGTCACGCGCGGCGCCGGGGCCGAGGCTGGACCCGACACGGCCGCGCCGCCGGCTCGCTGTCGGCTCAGGTCAGACCCGCGAGCCGGGCGCCGCCCGTTTCCAAGAAGCCGGCGCCGGCGCATCTCGGGGGCTTGGGCGACCCGTCGCCACGCGGCGCCACCATCGCAGCCAGCCGACGGTGGCCGGCCGCCCGGCCGGCCGCCGCCGGCGGCGGGGTGAGAGGTCAGGCCGGCGCGACACTCCCGGGAACGGATCAGACACGGGTCGGCCCCCCACACCGCCCACCCTTCGCCCGGCCGACTTCACTCGGCCAGGTGCCGCCCGTCCGTCACGTGCGTTCTCCGTAGGGCACACGGAGCGTACAGAAAGGGTCGGCCGCCGGTTGGACCTTCGCATCACATCCTGGTGCAGCCGACACTCGACAAGGGGAGAGCGCGAGCGCACCCCCGACACGTCGCCGCTAACAACACCTGCGCAAATCGGAGTGCTAATAAAGCACGCTTTACGACCGGCCCGTGGACCACCGCGGCGTGGCAGATCGTAGATGGAGCGCGCACGGTCCACACGTGCGAGCCCTTTCCAGGAACTGCTACGGATGATGTAATCACGGGGGTTCATGGCTGGCTGGACGGGTCATCGGTTCGCAGAAATGCTTTCAGGGGTACCGCCGGTGTATCTTAAGCCATCCGGCGAACGGGGTGTGCAGAAGTAGCCGTCTTCTCGCTAGCCGACGCACTGTTCGGGCGTGTGCACGCGCGGGCCTCGGCGGAAGAGGGGGGTAAGTCGAACGGCTGGCCAACCGAACCACCGTCCGCCACCGGGCCTTTCTTCCGCGTGTGTCCCTAGGTCTTAAGTTCTAGTCGTTACGCCCCACCTGAAACGTGGCAACCCTTCCCCAGATAGCAGACAGCAGACAGCAGACAGCAGACAGCAGACAGCTCTGCCGCCACACACACCGCCCGCGGTACTCACCGATGGCGTACGTGTCCAGGGGGAAGGACCGCACGCGCGTGCCCAGCGCGTTGGAGGCGTTCACTTCCATCAGGATGCGCTCGTGCGTCTTGCGGAACTCTCTCGGGCCGACCGTGCAGCGGGCGCTGCCGCCGCGGCCGGGCGTCGGCTCCACGCGCGCGCCCAGGTCCTCAGAGCACGCCTTCCTGTGGACAGCGGCACACGGCGCGTCAGCGGGCGCGCGCCCGTTACACCACGGTCGCCGGTTCGATTCTCGCCACGCGCAACGGCCACCTGTCTCGGATGTTGGCGATTATCTGTCATTCGTTGTTAGGGGCATGCATGAAGAACAAATACCGTCGAAATATAACTTAGTGGTGAGGTGGAAAGGCCCACTGCAGGCGATAGGGTGGAGGAGGGAGGGGGGTGACGGCCTTCCTTGAAGTGGGGCCGGCACCGTCCGGTCTGGTCTGCACGCGGCCCGTCATGGCGTCAACAACCGCAGCCCCCGTAACAAGTGTGCACAGCAGCGCAAACACAAGTGTGGGAACACCCGTGCAGTCCTCCTAAGAAACAGCATGAATAGAAATATACTGGCACAACGTGGAAGCCCCGCCTCAGATCCACCCGTCAGCTCCACGTTTGGCGTGACGAAAAGGTGGATATCAAGACGCGTACCGAATTGCATGGTTCCCGGCAAAAATATAGGAAAACACACACTGGTGCCGTACTCGCCTCGACATAATCTCATGCCATCAGTGGGCAACACACATAGGAATGCAGCATACTTCTGGACTCGTACACATGCAACCCGCTAAAGAAGTCTTGCAACGATCGTGGGATCAGCTGCCACCGGTTTCATGGTGCTTTGCCACGACAACCAAATGACACTTTGCACACTCGGAACGAATGAGTGGGCTGCAAAACGTGCCGCCTAGCCGGCCCGGGTGGGAAAGTATCTCCACGGAAATGCTTTTACTACGCTGGGCTCTACACGACCTCAGGACCGCTACGGCCACACACACGCTTCCAGCAGAATCTGACTGGGCGGTGTCCCTCGATTCGCGTATCGCAACACGTCGTTGCACCTCAGAGAGACGCATCGGGCGCGCCAGCACGCAGGAACGCGAGTGGCCGCAGAAGAGCTTCAGCTCCGTGCTCCCCTCCCACAACTGTTACCGAGTTGGTTAGCAGCGCCACAGTGTGCAGGAGACGTCCTTCGGTCTCACTGACCGCAGTAAATGGAACCCTTACCCGGCAAAAAGCCCTTACCAAAGCAACAAAGCGCAGCAGCCTGCCCTTTGTAGCAGTCTCGGTTACGTGACATGTCACGCCGTGGTACCACATTACATCAGGCCATTGTCTCAGCCACGGATTAACGGGCCATACCCCTTACTCCTACAGTCCCCGCGTGCTCCACAGCAATCCGAGCGCGTCAAAGCGCACACCATTGTGCTGCACTGGATGATTTGACACCGGTGAGCTGAAACACGCCACTCGGGGCTGGGCCGATGGTCGCCGCTCCGGGGCCGGGGGTGACCCGGAGGCACCGGCCGGTCACGTAGCCGACCAGCGGGCGGATCCGCCCAGCCAGCGGCAGCGCCACTCGGGGCTAGGCCGCTGGTCGCCGCTCCGGGGCCGGGCGTGACCCGGAGGCACCGGCCGGTCACGTGACCGGCCAGCGGGCGGATCTGCCCAGCCAGCGGCGGCGCGGTACCAATCTGTCATGTCACGTGTGCGTGTCCAAACCGGGTAAGACAGTGTCGCCGTGCGACCGCAACAGCCAGCCCGCAGCCGCAACTCGAGCATTGGTAGCCGGATTGTCAGCAGGGCCCCCTGGCTGCCGGTGCAGCTGCTCCATCGGAAGGGCAGAGGATAGTGAAGTCACATGGAGTCAGCCTCTGAACAGATGCCACAAGTCGGGTCGGGTCGGGTCGGGTCGGGTCGGGTCGGGTCGGGTCGGGTCGGGTCGGATTCGATTCGGTTCGGTTCGGTTCGGTTCGGTTCGGTTCGGTTCGGTTCGGTTCGGTTCGGTTCGGGCTTATTTTGGTTTGGTTTGGTTTGGTTTGGTTTGGTTTGGTTTGGTTTGGTTTGGTTTGGTTTGGTTTGGTTTGGTTTGGTTTGGTTTGGTTTGGTTTGATTTGAGTTGGGCTGAGTTGAGTTGAGTTGAGTCGAGTCGAGTCGAGTCGAGTCGAGTCGAGTCGAGTCGAGTCGAGTCGAGTCGAGCCGAGTCGAGGAGTCGAGGAGTCGAGGAGTCGAGTCGAGTCGAGCCGAGCCGAGCCGAGCCGAGCCGAGCCGAGCCGAGCTGAGCTGAGCTGAGCTGAGCTGAGCTGAGCTGAGCTGAGCTGAGCTGGGTTGGGTTGGGTTGGGTTGGGTTGCGAAAGACGCAATGGGATTGGATGGGATGGAAAGGAATAGAATGGGTAGGCGAGGTCTGGTTCGATGAAATGGGATGACATCAAGTCGTGCCAGGTCAGGTCGGGTGTGGTCGACGTCGGGTCCGGTCGGTCGGTGGGTGGCGCCACCTCACCGTGTCAGCTGCTCCGATCAATACCGGACGGCAGGCCGTCAGCCATCCCGCCTCTGTCCGCCCGGCCCTAGCCCTCTCTCTCCCTCCCTGCCTCCCTCCCTCCCTCCAGCAACGCTTCATTCAGACAGCGCCACATACGCACTCACATTAGACTCGCCAAGCAGCTTCGGCCCCTCCCACCCCCGGGCGGGCGGCCGCCTGGAGGTGGGAGACAGACGTTCGTGCTAACACAGGAGCCGCGCTCGAAGACCGCCGGATCGCCGGCAACCACTGGTATTCGCTGTACGCCCGCGAGCCATGCATACATTTCTAGCTGCGAGGTCTCCTCATTCTTCGCTGATCGAGTTGACAATGTGCTGGCAGACTGCTGCATAATGCAAAGCCCGCAAGCCCGACTGTCGCATTAGTCTTGGGCGGTCCGAGGGACGAGCGTAGAAGGCCGGGCTTCTCCAGGCCCCCTTCCCGTGACAGATGAATGGACGGCCGGGCAGCGCGCAGGCCCGCACTGAGAAGATGGCCTCGGGTGCTACACGCTGTCCTGATAGCAGCCTCGGGTCTGACAAATGCTTACGACCCCCGACGGTCCAAAGCCAGTCAAGAGCCGTCACCGAGGCTCCTCGCCATTCTGACTCCAGCCCGGGCTAATGAGAGCCGGAAGGCCCACTGACTCCCGCACCACCCCATCCTGACCTCTACACAGGCCATCGGGACCCTATGCAAGCCGCTCTGACACCCATGCAGGCCACTCTGACCAACGTGACGACCACTGACCTGCCATGACCTCTGTATTGGCCGCCGACCTCTGACCTGAGTGCAGGGCGCTCCGACCCATGTGCGCTCCTGGATGTGTACAGGCTGCTGCGAACTTCGTCCCACTCGCCCACTCTGATCTCTTTACGGGCCGCCCCGACCTCTGCGCAGGCCGCCCTGGCATCTGTACAGTCCGCTGTGGCCTGTGTACAGACCACTGTACAGGCCACCATGGCCTCTGCACACCTATGTGCAGGCCGCAGGCCGCCCTGGCATCTGTGCAGTCCGCTGTGGCCTGTGTTCAGACTACTATACAGGCCACCATGGCCTCTGCACACCTCCGTGCAGGCCGCTCTGGCATCTGTGCAGTCCGCTGTGGCCTGTGTTCAGACCACTATACAGGCCACCATGGCCTCTGCACACATCCGTGTAAGCCGCTCTGGCGTCTGTACAGTCCGCTGTGGCCTGTGTACAGACCACTGCGCAGGCCACCATGGCCTCTGCATACCTCTGTGCAGGCCGCTCTGGCATCTGTACAGACCTGTTCCCTGTGTAACGATCGCTCCAGCCTCTGTACGGCCATCATGACCTCTGCGCCGCCCTGTTGCCGGCCGGCGGGGCGGGGTGGGACGGGGCGGGGCGGGGCGGGGCGGCGGCCGTGACCGAGCCAGCGCTGCGCAGTGCCGATCAATACCAGCCCGCGGCCGGCTGGAGCCCCGAGACGCGTCAGCTCTCGCCGGCGCAGCTAGGCCGCCGGCCCGACACCGCAGCGGCAGCAACAGCGGCGGCAGCAGCAGCGGCGGCGGAGCCCAGTCGCGACGCTGAGCCCCGCCTCCGCGCGCTCGTCGCCGGACCCCGGGGCGTCGCCGTCGCACGGCCGCCAGCGGGCTGCTGCGGGCGGCCGGCGCCGCCACGCGCGCGCTAGTGCGGGCAGCCCGGGCGGGCGCCAGACGTCCGCCCCCTGTCGTCACGCCTCCGCCGGCGTCATGACGACGGTGCCACGCCCCCGCCGCCGCCGCCGCCACCGAACGGCCTCGCCATATCGACGGAAAGATTGGAGGTAACATTGGATCGAGGGTGAGGAGAGTGAGGGTTGAGAAAACAATCTATGGAGGAAACGAGACACGGAAGGAGTGGAGCTGACTGGGAAAAAGTGTGACGCTATGGAGAGTCGTGCTGTCACACAAACTTTAGGGGTGCAGAATTCGTGAACACAAGCAGACGTGAACGTTTTGTGCTGCGCATGGCAGCGTGACGAATGGAAAAGTACATTGACAACATCAATATCAATTTGGGGGCCTTGAATCAAGGCGTTAAGGAAGTCTAACCATGGGAATGCACTGAACGGGATTTACGTAGATCAGCTCATGGATTCTTTTCCTAAGAGGATCTAGTAGCTCTAACAACTTTTCTGCACTTCGAGCACTAAGATGGCATCGTACTAAGAAAATCCAGCCGACCGGTTCGCCGCGTCAACTTTACAACATCATCGAGAAGGAAGATTACTGCCACAATGTCAAGGAAAATGCCGGTTCACGGCCCGAACAGACCACAGTGCCGCTGAACCGGCGGGATTCCTGGGCTCGGAAGCCAGGGCGCAGGCGCATGCCAGCACCAAAATAGACGGCCCGGCGTCCCCTGACACTCTCCACGTGCAGCATTAATGGAAAATGGAACGAGGCAAAACGGACTCCGCGATGTCGAACATCACAAAACGCAGAACCAGCCACCGGCCATCTATCCCAATACGGCTCGATCCTGCTCCACTCTTCATTATCATAATATCGGCACAGATGTCGTGGCCGCCGCGGCAGCCGGCCGGCTGCCAGCCTACCGGCGCTTTTTTGCGGACGAGGTGACCTCGCCATTCGCGGTATCATGGCCAGGTGACATCGACCCCTCAAGCCGCAACCGGGGGGGGGGGGGGGGGGATGAGCCGACGTTACGGTCAGCGGTAGCCGCCCGTGACGCCGGTCCGGAACGCAGGCCGGGATAGAGGGGGGGGGGGGGGGAGAGGGGAGGGGGCGGACGTCGGGAAGGCACCGGCGGCCAGGTGGCGAAGCCCAGCCGCGCCAGGCCGAGGGCCGATCAGCTGATGGACGCCCGCGCGGGATGAACGGAATCAGCTGCCGCTGCTTCACACGACGGAATCATCAGTGGGCTCGCTCCGACCAGGCTTGGAGACGAGGCCGGCTTTGGCTTCGGCTTCATAAAACCGCAGTTCTCCTCCAATGGCTTCGGGCTTGTCTATGGCTTTGAGCCATTTTCGACGGCTGGCTTCGGCCCGGACATTGAACAGTTTTGTAATTTTGAATCCGGCCTCGGCTTCTTACAATGCTGAACAGCTGGCTTCGCTTTTGACGCAGTGATTTTTTTCCCTGCAATTATGACTTAGCCCCACCCAGCAGCCCTGCCCGTCGGCTCAGTCCAAAACGCCACACAACTTTTTGAGGTTACGAAGCACTCGTCGTTGAAAGCGAAAACCGGTCGGTCATTCTTAGAACCAATTAGCAGCCGACCACAGCTGAGAACCTAACTTTTCCAAGCGTTGTGCACAGAAGTTGACGATGGTAGTTCAAAAATATCCCATTTGTAATGTTAGACACCTCGTCTAAATCCCTTCACAAAAACTTGATTCCTAGCAGTTAACGCTGTAGCCAAAGTGGTTTCGGCTTCGCAAAACAAGTTGAGCACTGGATTCAGTTTCGCCTTTTTCCTGGGATTCCTCAGTGCAAAGCCGCCGAAATCTGGTTCGTCTTTTTACATCCAAAGTTTGAGGTAAATTGCTTCGGATTCGGTGTCCAAAATAAAAGTACACGCCACAGGTTTCGGTTCCGCTGTTCCAAATTTTAAAAGCCGCCGCCCGAGGCTTCGACTTCGGCCAATGCCATTATCATCTGGGCTTCGGGTTTCACGTTTCGAAACTATAACCTTGGCTTCATGCCTGATCCCGACACAGTCGAGGGCGGGGGGAGGGGGGGGGGGGGGAGGGCATGGCGCCGGACGGGCCGGTGCCAGCGCCAGTACCGGTTGAGGGTCAGCCACACGGGGACGCACCCCGTTCCGGTTGCGACCTGGGGGACGATGAACCCGACGCCGCCGGCTCGACCTCCCTCCCCCTTCCCTGTGCTGAACCGGTCTTTCGTAATCCACTTGCCGCGACGGCTGTGTAAAATACAGCCGCGTAAGCTGACAGATGACATGAACACTGTGATTACAGCAGGGCGGAAGTAGTCGTTCGGGCGTTCGCCCGCCCGCTGGGGGCGCAGCCAGCCGCCGAAGCCGGGCCGGCCACGCGCCCGGCGGGTCGGTGGTCGGCCCCAGCCCGCCGCGCTGGCGCCCGCAGCGAAAGGTCGTCCCATTCACGCCCGACGAGGTGTCGGTAACGGGGACCGCAGAGCGGGCGCGTCTCACGTGTCACTCCCCGCCACCCGCTACGCCCAGCTCGGCCGTCGCCGGCGCCACGGCCCTCGCCGCGTGCTGCCCTGCCCGACCCCACCACCGCCGCCACCACCAGTCCGACCCAGAACCCGCGACCGGACCCCGCACACGCACACGCATGCCGAACCCGCTCACGGCGCTGCGTCGCACGGTGCCGAGCCCGTCTGTCCGCCGGCGGCGCCTCTGTCCAGGCCCGCGGCGGCGCCGCCGCCGCCGGCGCCGCCGGGCGGCCGGGGCGGGCCGTGACAAACGGTGGCAGCTCAAGGCTGCGCCGGCCATCGCTGTGAGGAACGGGCGCTCGTCACACGGTCGACCCCTGGCCCCGCGGCGCCGGCGGCGGCGCGCCGCGGCAGGCGGGCGTAGCCGCCGCCGCCGGCGACGGCAGGACGGCCTGACGATGGGAGGCCCGACCGAGCGGTGCTGGCTGCTCCCTACCGCCGCCGCCGCCGCCGCCGCCCCCATCCGCAGAGCGTGCCCCACCCTGCGCCAAACGCCCGGCGGCGACCGGCCGCCCCCAGCCCACTCAGTCGAACAGGTCGGCCAACCAACTCAAGTAATTTACGGCACCCGTGTCAAGTTCTATGGCATTTAATGATGGCGAACGAGGTAGCCGGCCATCTGCAGGCGGCCTCTCGGAGCAGCGCCGGCTGCGGCGGCCATCAGGCGGCCATCAGGCGGCCGCCGGCACTGGCGCGGCGGCGGGCTGATGCAGAGCGGTCAGGAGCCGCGGGCGGGCCACGCCCCGGTACTTACACGTAGTGCGGGAACGAAGCGAGCCGGTACAGGACCTGGTACTTGGTCCTGACGGCGTTGAACGACTCGTTCCAGCTGCAGCTGATGTTGACCCAGTTGTGGGAGACGCAGCGGAAGTTTTCCACGGCCAGGGGCGCATCTGCAGCAGGGGCGGGCCAGACGTGTCACTCGGCGCCGACGACGGCGTCACGCCATCACGATAACAGTGGGCGCCGCCGCTGTTGACTCGAGCTCGTCGCCATCGCGCGTCTCAAGGACAGCGTCAAGAGTAATACTCCGACAGCGCCACACGTAATCAACCAACACAGCCTGTCTGCAAGCGCCGTCACAACAACCCTTCAGAGGCGCTCACATCCAGAGGCCTGTGGGGGTTGGATAAGCCCATGGGCGGCGCAAACAACCCCTGCAGGAGACGAACACTCTTCAAACCTGATTTCTACTCCTGCTAAACCCGTGGACACCATCGGCTACACGTCACATGTAACTGGCTGGGTTGGGCACATGTTTGGGAAAAAATGTGGGAGTGGGCACGGCTGTGGGCAGGACGTTCAAAAATGTCGTAAACACACTCCCAAAAATACCCTCAATATCACTGTTTGCACTTCGTTTAGTCGCAAGTCGCTCCATTTACATAGTATCTGAAATATCGCCGCCGCGTGCAACCTACGGTGAAACCGTCATTTACAACTTAGGAGCTAAAAATCCAGATGGATGGGTAACAAATGGGTACGACTGATTACGAAACGGTAGCGAATGGGTGGACATGGGCACAGACAACCCCATGGGCTGGCAGGTCGAGGGGTTAAGGAAATTCTACCCTAGACATCTACCCACCCCTACTACGGCACCCTCCAGCGCCTCGCCCTCCACACACACACTCCCGTGACACCTTCCACCAACTGTGGCGCTGCAGGAGCTGATGATGCTTTGGATATGAATAGCGTTTCGGCTGCTGTGGCCATTTGGTGCGACGCTGTTACGTCCCGGGTTCGGTGGCGTTTTAAACAGCAGTGCGACTGCCCACGGCGACGACGTAGCGATGAGACTCGCCACGACTCTCTCCCAAGAGGCGCCGGTGCGGTCTTTGAAGCGGCGACAACACAGCCTTCTCGCTACGGCGCCGAGCCGTCCATTAGGCGTGGAGAAAGCGCCCCAGAGAGCCCAGGGCCCGGGGCCCAGCCGACACTCACAGCCAACGTTGACGCTGGTCATGCAGATGCCCGTGGTGGGCACGTCAGAGCGGCGCAGGCGACAGGTGTAGGTGTGTCGCACGGCCTCCGACAGCTGACCCGTCAGCAGTACAGACGAGCTGTTCACCACCTGCGCGCACAGCCGACGGTCAGAACGGAGCCGCACGGCCGACGCACGGCGAGAGCGCGGAGGCGCGCGCGGCGACACGCGAGCGCGGCAACACCTCCGGCTACAACCCTTGACAGGGCACCTCAGGGGACGACAGCACGCCGATAGCCGGGAGGAGCGGAACAGGCACCGCGCGACACTGCGGGAGGCGAAACGGACCCGAGGTGGCCCTCCCGTCTGCGTGGAGCGACGTCCGGCGCCGCCGCCAGCCCCCGACCCCTCCCGCCCCCCTCCCCCGCGCCGCCACTGACCGTGTACTGGTCGGCGGGCACCTCCGTCTTGGCCACGCGGCCGGCGCGTTCCTCCACGCGAGTGAAGTAGAGGTCGGCGGAGCTGTAGCCGATGACTTTCGGGTGCTGCAGGTCGATCTGGCAGGTGATGTTGAACGTCTCGCCCGGCTTCAGGTTGATCTCCCGGCGCGGGTACGTCGCTGGCGGAGAGACGGGTGCGTGGTCAGACGGGGGCGGAACCGGGCGGCGGGGCGCTACCTCCAGAGCGCGCCGCCCACACCGACGTGCCGGCTCGCCATGCGCTGCTCCGCTGTTTTACAATGGCACGGCGAGTCCGCGCGCGACATCTGGGTCGGAGGCACCAGTTTCGGTCCTGGTGGCATCACCGCCCGCGTGCCTCCAGCCCCCACGTCCCGCGGGCTCACCCTCCCGTGGGTTTGAAGAAACGGTGAAGAGCTGTTACTTTGACTGTGGGACAGACCTGTACGACCAAACCCACAACTCAAGCGCGGAGGCTGGCCCCAGTCGGGGCGGACGGGGAATAATAAATGCAGTACGATCCAATGGGATGATGTGCGGTAGCACTTCAAGCCGAGTTCTGCTCTGTGGGACGTTTGGAATTATCAAAAAACATATGCTTTATTAACCGATTGCAAAACCTTGCTGCCCGACGTCGTGGCGGTGCAGAGCATTGCTTCTGTTTTCGCCGACCCGTGGCGCGGTATATTTGCAATGCCCAGGAGCCGCGGATAAGCAATCACTGCCGACATCCTGTTTACTGCGGCCCGCCATCATCACACAGCAGCGGAGGCGGGCGGACTTATTTGGCCACCTAGCTCATGCCGGCACTTTACTTTCGAAAATCGCCGCGAGCCCGGTTAAGCCAGCTCGGTTATCAAACGGTGCGGAAACTTTTCTAAACCCCCACGTCAGGGGCTGGACCCGCGGCTACAAGCCACAAGTGAGCCCGGCTTTTGCGAGCCAAGGTCGCGAAGTACTTCAAGAAACGCGATCCGATCTCAGCAATGAGTTCACGACCAACACCTACCAACAAATGTGAAAAATGGAGCATTGTATGCGATCACGACCAGGTAACTAAATGCCACGACCAAAACCGGCTGCGGGATCCCTTTTATACAGAATCGTCAGCTTAAGCCACTGCAAGACCTCTTTTTTTCTCAGCCGCGTCAGCAGCTGGGGGAACTGGACGCGGCGGTCCGGTTGCGGTGAGGCTGGCGCGGCGCTCGATCAGCACCCGTGCCGCCAGCTCCCGTGAGGCCAGCGCCGCCGCGGCAGCACTCCAGACGGGTCCTGCTGACCCGATCGGTGACCGGCGCCGCAGCAGGCGGGACCCGGCCCGCCCCGGCAACAGCAGCCGAGGGGCCGCCGGCGGCGCCCACCGGCGCTGCCGCTGGCCGCAGGCCGGCGGTCACGATCGGCGGTCATCGGTCACCGAGTCTAGTCGCAGGTGAGGCGATGTTGGCGCTGAGGGAGGTGGGGGGGGGGGGGGGGGGCACCCGACCCGGATGCCACGACGGAGTGCTCGCTACCCTGCAGGAAGGAGTGCGCACCGGAGGGCAGCCATCCACATTGGGTTTCTGTGGTCCGAGGTTCTGTTTTGCCGGTGCGCAATCTCTTGCCCAATCCGCGTCTCGTCTTTGTACGATCAGCGCAAACGCGCGAGCTCGAGAGTCCGTCCGGTCCGCACTCGGTCGGCGATCGACCATCGACCTGAGCGGTGCTGACAAGGCGGGGAGCCCAGACAGCATTTGATCGTTGGACAGGCGGCGGTCATGCCGCAGCCTTGGGCAGTGGGCCCTCCCCGCCTCGGGCGGGTGGGCCCATGTCTCGTTCGCGCCCGGGGAGCCTACACGTCGTCCGTCTGGGATCCTCGGCACGCGCCGCAGCCGTGCCCGCCGCACCATCGCACGAGACGCGGCCTGGGCGCTGGTCGCCGGGCGCGAGGCGCGAATCAGTGGCGCCTCTCCTCGGCGCGCAGGCGTAAGGACAGCACCAGTTTTCCGCGACCCGCTCCAGAGAATGCACGTGATGGCGCTTCAGGGTGCTGGCGTGTGCTCAATGGTCTTGGGACGGGAATAGACCACGGCGCAAGCAAAGCACTTAACATGCTACTTCTTCGAATATACCGGAGTGCCACTTCACTATCGAATATACCGGAGTAAACTTTGAAGGAGTGTGCGGACGAGCGGCATCGAAGCGCTTCACAAGGATGGAGCGGACACATGATCAAATAGCCATGCCGGGCGAGCGACTCATAAATGCAGCCAACAGCCACCGCCGCTTAGAGCTAAAACGTTATTGACGTGGCTCGTGAGAACGGCAAAATCACCCCCGGGCGAACGTTAACGGCCGAGGAAACGGCGAGCACGTTATGACCGCATCGCTCTGCCACATGGCAGCCACAGCTGGCCCCAGTTGTCGCTGATCCGTTCTCCATGCGGCACTTCAAGCAGGCTTTGTTCCCGAAACTTCCTTAAACTATTCGTCGCCTGACAAGTCCAATGAGCAAGCACTCGAGATTGTCGCAAGTTTTTCGTTTTGGAAAGGTTGGGCTTACAACAATGGCGCGCTTGCGATGCGTCGCGAGCAACCGGCACAATGCCTTTAAAACAACATCACGACACGGACCGGAAAGTCAGGGGACCGCAACAAACGCTGCATTCAGGCAAACCCTAAAGCAAGTGTAAGAATGAGATTGATTTCACGACTGACGAAGTTGAATCGGTAAGCGAGTTTGCGCCACGCGCGCACCATGCTTCGGTTTGACCCCGTCGCATGACACGGGTTTGACCCCGGGCCCCGACACGGGTTTGATCCCGTCGCCCGACACGGGTTTGACCCCGTCGCCTGACACGGGTTGGACCCAGCCACATCCCGCAGGTTTTACCCAGCCATCTCAAAGCCCGTTAACTCTAGAATACGTCTGGGGAAAGCCCGCCACCAAGCCAGCTGGCGTCATCATCACATCACCCGGCTGGGTTGCAGCAGGCGCCGACCGCGCCGCCGCCTCGGTCGCCGGTCGCCGGTCGCCGGTCGCCGGCCGCCGGCTGGCTGCCCGGCGCCCGGCCAGTTCACGCCGGACCACTACCGGTGGGCGGGCCGACAGCACCCCAGCTCGCCCCCCCCCCCCCCGAACTGCTCACACGGGCGGGGCGCGCTGAGGCCCGCAGTGGGCACGAGCGCCGCCCGCGCTGCGCCGCGTCGTTGAGCCGTCGCCGCGGCCACCGCAACACGCCTGCCGGAGATTTTTCCGCCGACAAACCCGTTTGGGGGCCGGGGTGAGCGCCCGCGGCGGTCGGCGGGCAGCGACTCGCCACCGCCAAAAAATCGCCAGCCGCAACCAGGAAGCCGCGGTCGCTGCGACCTCGCGCCCGGCCGACCGTCCGGCGCGTCCGCCGCGTCCGGCGAGCCGCGCTATCATCGCCGGGAGGCGCCGCCGGCGCCGCCGAGGCGGCCGGCGCGGCGCGCCAGACGACACGGACGTGACGCGCGTCCCCGGCCGGCACGGCCGTCCGCCGTGCACGGCTTCCGCCGGCCCCCGCGTGCCCGTCTTCTGCAGCCGTCGGCGACGTCTCGGATGCGGTTCCTTCCGCGGGCGACACCGCGCGCGCCAGGCGCCCCAGCCAGCTGGCATCGGCAGCACGTCCATCCTACCACAGGCACCACCGACAGCAGGCCTCCCACACCCCCGGAAAACAAACGGCGGCCACCTGGCCGTCGTCAGCACTCTCCGCTGCTCTCCAGTCTCGTCACGTCGGCCGTTGCGCAGCGCGCGCGACCCCGCTGCTGGCCGTCGAGAGCGGCCGGAGCGCGGTCTGCAGGCGGGCGGGCGCGCCGGCCGACCTCGACCTCGGCACGCCGGCGCTGCTCGCTCGCCGCCGCGCTGCAGCGCCGCCGCTGCGCCCCGGCCAAATTTATCCGGCCGTAAATTGCAATTAAATGGGGGGCGCCGGCGGCCGGAGCGGCCATGCGGCCACATCAGGGCTGCGGCCACGGCGCGGCGGCGTCACCGCACGGCACCGGGGCGGCGGCGCGGCAGGCGGCGCCGGCTAACGGACATCGGCCGCCGAGACAGAGAGAGACAGACGAGTGACGGACACGAGGTGCGGAGACGCGGACGGAGGAACGCTGGGTGTGGGAGGAGGAACGGCTGCGGGTGCGAGGCGCGCGGATCGGTGTCGCACCGCGCGGGACGAGACAAGGACGAGCGCGGATCTGGGACACGGGGATCCGGAACGCAGGGCGTGCCCTCGCGTCGACTCGACGCCGCACGGCCCGGCGTCCCGGAGGACGGACGGACATCGGGCGCCGGGCGTCGTACGCAGCGGCCGGCCATGCGCCGCGGTCCGACGCTATCGACCGGGCTGTGCCGGGCGCCGAGCAGCACGCCGGCCGGCCGCTGGCGCGACCCGGTGCCGCCCGCTCCGGCCGGCGCCCGCTGCCCGGCAATCTAAACGGCCATCGAGCGTTTGTACGACTGAATCGACTGGTTTGCCGGCCGGCAAGCGGCGGACAGCGAACAGCGAGCAACGGGCGAGGGACGGCGGGAGGTGGGCAACAGGCAGCAGCCGGCTGAGGCGATGACACTGCGGCGTGCTGGCGAGACCGGCGGGGACCGAACAGGACCGGACCGGACCAGACCAGACCAGACCAGACCAGACCAGACCAGACCAGACCAGACCAGACCGAACCGGACCGGACCGGACCGGACCGGACCGGACCGGACCGGACCGGACCGGACCGGACCGGACCGGAACGGAACGGAACGGAACGGAACGGAACGGAACGGAACGGAACGGAACGGAACGGAACGGAACGGAACGGAACGGAACGGACTGGGAGTGGCGTTTGGCCGGAGCGCAGAGGGCGATGTGGGCCGTCATATCTACGGCGATACGTCTCGTGGCTGCTCCCACATCTTCGTGTCAGGATACCGAAGTTCTTGGTAATGTTTGACCAAGAAACGTGCATATTGTGTTCGCTGGGAGGAAATGGCCTCCCCGCATCCAAGAAGCAGGCATTGTCGGCGCCATCGATTTCTCGGCAGAGCACAGGGAATCACTCGCAGCAGACGCGCTAACAAGATAATACAAACTGTAGTTCTTCTTCACGCAGCATGCTGTGTGGTGATCTCAAGGGAATGCCCAGTCTTTAGGCATGTCTCAAAGACATACTCTGG